TATATATATATATATATATATATGCTCCTAAATATGTTTGAGAGCACATCTATGCACACGTGCTTCTATCTTTGTTACATTTAAGGGAAAATCAAGATGGGAAGTGAGTGTACAAGGAGTTCCATTATTTTATGGTTTTCCCTAGGAAAACGAACAGCTTTTCCATGGATCCAAACAGGAAAAAAGAAAACCCTAATTTCAACTCAAGGAGATCAAACTGGATATCAATTATGAAAAGGATCCAGTTTCATATACGACGTTTGGCACAAAGGCGACAAATTCGCAACGATAATGCCGAAATAAATCCAGATCGAGACACACACAAAGGTTCTAAGTCGAATAATCTGAGAAATTAGTTCTCAAATATTTATATAGAATATATCGACGCATATATACATATTTGTATGTATAGATAGAGAGAGAGAGAGAGAGAAATTACCAAGAATCAGTGGAAAACTCGAAGAGCTTTCCTTTGGAAGAGAAGACGATGAGAGCAACCTCGGCATCGCAGAGAACAGAAATCTCGTGGGCTTTCTTAAGCAAACCAGATCTTCTCTTAGAGAAAGTAACTTGCCTATTGATCTTGTTCTCTATCCTCTTCAGCTGAACCCTACCTCTCCCCATCTTCTCTCTCTCTCTAGAATATTTTCTCTCGTTTTCTCGCTCCCCAAACACCCCCTCCAAAGCCCACCTATAGACCCAAGAAATACACCAAATTCTCTCTCTCTCTCCCCTCGCCTCTGGGTATCTTTCTGTTTAAGCTCATTATCTTATCCTCTCTCTTTTTTCCCCCTTTTTCTTATTGGGTTTTTGTCTTCGTATACGCAGTACAGTAACTATGTATATATGTATTATAAATGTATATAATGCAATATATGTCTTCCAGTTGGCTCAACCGATACGAATACATTCAATTAAAAAGAGATATAATAAATTCAGAAACAATACAAGTGTTGACTAAAAAGAAAAACAAGTAAAACATATGGCTCTGTTTCTGTATTGTGGGCAATCGAACACCTAATAAAATTAGATATAAGAATAAGAAGTACGTACATGAGCAATGAATTATATTATATATTTTTTTTAAAATCGAACAATAAATTGCATGAATTTATATGCTTAAAAATATTTCTGGACAATTTTTGTCCCGAATTTGAAAACGCGGAATGGTCTTTCCTTTTAGACGTACATATGTATGTATATATGTATGTAAGTAAATATGGATGATGATATTTATGGAAACAGGACAGAGGTTGAAAACACACCTAGGGAAATTAAAAGTGGGGGCAGAGTAAGGGCGGTTTTGGAAAAAAAAAGTTTGGATGCGTTGTCGAAATTTGGTTGGCTGAGAGGAACTGAAACAGTTTTTAGTGTCTGTTCGGTTTATGTTTCCGTACATATCTCTCTCTATCTCCACCAATTCCTTCAAGTGACCGTACGATCTCTTCACCTCGTTTTTTTTTAATTTTTGAATAGTGTCACCTGTAATCGCATGTGTATACGTGTGCATTTATGTAACATACATGTGCATGTTAGTGATGATTTTTCCAATTTTTTTTCTATTTTTCGAACAAATCTAATTTCATTTTCATACTTTACACTAATACTTAATTTAAATTTACAATCGAAACCATTTAGGAAATATATTTTATTGCTATTAGAGTTTAGCACATTTATTTGGTACTTTCCCAAGTGACGACCAAGAAAATATATAAACGTATGATGAAAAAACAAATCTGTAACTTTATCCCCCAAAAAAGTATATCTGTAATTGAATTTGATAAATATTACGTAACAAACCCGTAAGATAGATACGTCATTCATAAATAATTTCTTTAAGAAAGTAAATATCATAAAATAATTACTGCGTAACAACAAAAATATGCTTAACAAAACCCTTCTTCCTAATGTTATAATATATATATATATATGTATATATTGAAATTCTTTCAAAAATAGCGATAGAGCAACAAGATTTTGAAGAAGAATCAGCGTATATGTAGCTTCGTCTGTTCTTTCACATTTATTTAGCGATCAGAATATTTCTGCTCCACGTAAGTGGTCCTATAGTATAGTCCATAAATATCTAATTGTGATTCCATATATTTGGTGTACAATTATTCAACATTTTTCATATTTTATAGCAGTACAGAAATTGGGTATTCTTTTTATAAATACATTTTTTTCTGAAGCTTATATTTGAATATTCAACGTCCTATTTTATAGCAGTAACTTCAGATCACTAGATTACAATGATTTCTCAAAATATAAATTAGCTGTTATGTTTAATAAAAAAATTTCGAATTTATATATTCAAATGAAGGGGTAGAATCTATAAGATATACCATGGATTAATATTCATATACTTCGGGAATGAAATATGAACGTCCGCATAAACCTACAAATGGTTTACTGAACTATTCTGTCAGAACTCGATTTAAAACGGTAACCGACGGTTCATTACATTAAAATATGTTTATTTACATGCATATATATATATATATATATTGATGAAATATTAGTTAGCATTTAATTCGGTTCGTGTATCCAATTGCGTATGGACTATGATTAGGAAAAAAACAGAGTTTCATAGCATAAGAAGTCTTCACCGTTTTGATTAGTGCCACTATTTTACTTGTACAAATCAAACCCTTAATCGATTATTATTATCGCAAGTCAATCGCTTAATAATGACATTTATCTTATCTTGAACATTTTTTTTATCGTATAGTTTAAATACACGAAATCATGCGGTTGAAGGTCATTTCGTCACAAGATTCCGTAGATTCTGCTGCTTTTTGGAGTTAATGCATATAGGACGTGTTCCGATAAGGAACAAGAAATGCGAAATCATGTCTCCCCCGTGACTAATTTATGGCTAATGATTTTTATTATTATTTATTAAACAAAACAAAAAAAACATCGGGAAAAAAAAATGGTTCGAAACACAACCCTACTGGCTAAATATAAGAATTTTACGTTTGCATTTTTCAGGTTACATATTAATTAATAATACGTTTTCTAATTGTATTAAAAGTATAGTCTACAATTAGGGATTCTATTGAAAAATTATATTATATATTTAATACGTTCGTATTATCTACAATGACGGTCATAAATTATCTTATGATCTGTCAAATTCTAATATGATTGCTTCAGTTTTGATTTATTAGAAGATAATATAAAAGTACGTTACTATACTCAATCTCAACTTGGTTATGCAGAACAAAAATGTCCATATATACCTGTATACATATATGTATATTTATATTTACACGTGTGTATATATATGATATATTTTTACCAGAGGCTAGGGCTATAATATATACCACAATTTTTTTTAAATAATTATTTGGACCACATTTCGGCGTTGATGAGCCCTAGACATGTAAATAGATGGGAGGTACTTAAACGTATTTAATTCCTCTGAATTGTTATTAACATGAATTTGTACCTCCCTTTAGTACAACAATGTTGGCCCTCTTAGATCAAAACGTTGAAAATTTTGACCTTCATATACGTACGCTGTCCCCATCTCAATAACTTTGGCCCGGTTATATATATATATATATATATATATAGCCGTGCTGTCCAAATTTTTATACGGTTTTATAATAGACAAATAAACATATATTCAGTGTTTATATTGTTGTCAAAATCATTGTTTTTGTGAAAGTGGTTTTGGACATTGTTTAAAGTTGGATTTACAAATCTATGCTAACTTGGTTGGACCATATAAACATCACGCCTTATCTTCTGCAATGCCCACACTCTTGTATGTGTTGTAATTAATATTTTCACACACACCCATATATATATATATATAATTGCCACTGTTACCGAAAGTTATATGATAAATGAATCGTAAACATATTATTAATAATTATCAGAAAAAATATGACAGATAATTCCTCGATTTTTCAAAAATATCAATTAATATCTAAAGTGATTTTTTTTTTACTTCGTTTGATATATAGCATACAACCAGACAGATAAAGGCTAACTAATAACTCCAAATATAATTTCCCATGTTCTCTTAGTTATAATACAATAAGATGTACTAATTTTTTTATCCGTTCAATGAATTTTTTTTTTACAATTTATTCCGAAATAATATAAACATTTATATTTTTCGGCAATCTTTTCTAAACAAATTACACCCACGAAGTTAAAACCTCGGACCAACTTTGTAAAAAACTAATAAATTATTTTTTCCGCGTGGAAAAAAAATTGTATTCTCAAAGTTTAACCATCTGCTTCCGCCTTCCGCTCATTTTCTTCCCTCCTCGAACTAATTGATCCTTTCATGCATTGGATTTTGAGAAATTTCTGAAGGAGAATAACTTTTTTTTTTGGTACGCTCCTCGAAATGTACAAAAATAATTAAATATATAAAGGTGGTCCTATTGAATTGACCAACGATGAAAACAAATATTAAAAAAATCGTGAGAGAATAAAATGATAATAGCGGTATCTAGAGACACATATATTATAGTGCAACAGCGTACCGGTTATATGCAATTCACTCGGACATCCATTATTTACATGATGTTTTTCAGGTCTAAGCTATAAACACGTGTCATATGTGTACGTACAGAAACAATGTAATTAACAGCTTTGAACAACCGCTGAATAGTAAAAAAAAATTTAAAAAAAAATTGTCACGTTATTTCTTAAAATAAAATCACATGTCCAAAAGAAAAAAAACTTCAGAAAACACGAGACACCATTTTTATATTTTATGTCCTGAGGTCACAGGAATTACGAATCGACACGTCGCGAAGCACCGGTCCATGTTTTGATGTCTTTTTGAACCATTCAATATGGTAAGTGGGACCCACGACCACGTCATCTTTTGAAGATGAATATAATCAGTACATGTAAAAAAAAGGAAAAAATGAAAAAGAGGCGACGACGAAGTTAATATATTTTGTATTCACCCAATGATGGTTTTGACATTTTCGGGTGTTTGAGCCTCGACGCTTCTGATCACCCTCTTTCGGAAATAAAGGGATTCCGTGTTTAATTTTCCATTTAAATTTGCAAAAAATATAATATTTGTGGGTGTAATGCGTAAATACATATAAAACATATATACACAAGTATTATTAATGTATGATTTTGATTTGATTTGGTCCAAACGCATATGGAGTTAGGAATCAATCTTGAATCCATTTCAATAAAATCGCGCTTTGGTTGTAACGTGGTTCTTGATACGTTAATTTATCATTGTGATATATAAATGCGTGTGGAGAAACAGTTACCTAAACATCTTGTCGTGTCTTACATCTTTTTTCCAAATTTAGTTTGCAATAATTGGTTGTCAATTTGGTGAATTTCTCCTATCAAAAATATAAATTGTCTAACTAATTTATGATTAATGCATGGTACGAATTTACAACATATTTCAACTCTTTTTTTGTTTTTGTAAACTCATTAACTGCGTCATTGCCCCAAGCGCAAAGATTATTTCAACTTTTTTTTTTATTATAATTTAGTAGTAATATTCACAATAGGTTCATGATTCGAATAAATAACAATTTTTTCATTATCGATATATGTTCTGATTTAAATGCAAATGATTTTTTTTTAAGAGAAATATATATTCGGTCAACCGACGGTATAAAAAAAATAACTGATGAGCGCGAGTGATGAAATTAATTACCAAACTAAAGTTGCATAAGATTATTCTAGTAATTAGGGTTAAATGATATTAATGGAGACTAATTTACCATAACTTTAGACATAATATATAGTTTGTATATATGTCTCTTCCAACCATCTTAATTAACGTGCTTTAATGATGATTTAAAGAGAGATCAGCAACGGACAACAATGATTCGGATTATAATATAACTTTTTATGGGTTTTTTTAAATAATTGTTTTACTTTATTTTTTATTTTGGTAATTTAGGGTTTTATATGAACTCGACAACGCACGCGCTTTTCCAAAGTAGTTTATCACTTTGTCACATTTCTGGATGAGATTCTCTGCCACACACAACAAATCAATCGCCATTACGAATCCATTCTCTCCTCGTGTTTTTCTATTCTAGTCCCCGGTCTCATATATATCCGTACCAGATTCCGAGCTACCACATTGCTTTTGTCTTTTTAAATTCAAATAATTTTTTATTACACAATTTATGGCAGACATTAGAAAATTCGATTAGGTTAGACATAAACCGAGTCAAATACATAATAGTTATAATCAAACCGAACTTGATATAAAAACAGAACGATTATGGTTCTCTTAAAAATGTACAAATAATTATTTCTCAAATGAATATTTTTATAGTTGAAAACCAAAATCAAACCGAATCAAATCTAAAATAAAAACCGAATACATATAAATGTTCCAAAGAATCCAAACCAAAAATCTAAATGCTCTCACTCCGACCACAATGCAATTCAGTTGGTGGAAAGGTCAAAGAGATTGGACTCTCACGTGCATAAGTGGCCGCTGAGAATAATCTGTTTTCGACCAATTATATTTTAAACGAGCCTAAGGCCCATACGGCCCAAACTTATGCAATAGTTTGTAAAGTTTGATTAATTCGTTGGGCCTAAGGCCCATACGGCCCAAATATCTTCATCTTCCTCTTGTTTGTTCCCTCCAAATGCGCACGTGTCTTTTTTCTCTCTCTCACAAAATACAACGCAAGTTACAAAGATTCTATTATAGTGATATCAAAGATGCAATGCGTTACATAACATGGATGATAATACAAAGGAAAAACTATATTAACAAATTAAAAAAATATTAAGCAATAAAATTACAGATTACAAAACATCCACATGTATAATCTTTTTGGCATGCCATTCTCTGGTATATTCTATAAGAGAAACAACATACCGGTGAATATCAAAACTATAAGAAAAGCCACAGAGAGAGAGAAAGAAATAAAAACAGAAGATTCTACATCTGGACATCAGAAACTCGTAAATTACGCATATGCCACTTCGCCGTCCGATTCACCAGCCACCGTCGACCACCGCCACATTCGCCGGACATGGAATCTCCGGTCAGAAACAAAACCGGCAAAAATACAGGGAAGCGTTCATTACGCGAAGAACACGAGAAAAGAGAGCACGGCGGAGATAACCGGACCGACGAGAGAGACAGCTCGCCGGAAAACGCCGTTGGGAAGAAACGGATAAGTGTCAGGCGGAGGCATGACGCAGTTGTCGCCGTTGAAGTAGATTCTTCTCGGAAAGGCCCAACCTTTCTCGAACGTGAAAGTGGATTTGTCCTTGCGGAACAAGATCTCCGACTGTACGTTCCCGAGAGGCCCGGCTTCCGACAGGAAATCGTTGTAGAACTTAACTCCCCATAACATCGCAGTATCGTCTGAAAAACGAAAAGGGTCGTCAAATCAATGGCTAAAAAGGTGAAACAGAGGCTTATCTATATATAGAGAGAGAGGGTACTCACTTAATCCAGCGTAAGGAGTGAGGGGTTTGTAGTTGAAGCTGAAGATCTGAGTGACATTGTCGAGGTTTGGGTGTTGAACGACGAGGTTCCACTGAGAATAGTTCATGCGGTAATTGAAGTTGGATATGGAGATCTTCACGCGCCAATACTCTTTGTAATTCTGCTTCACGTGCCAGTGAACTCGGATCGGACACATGTGGCTCGTGCACTGCAACAGCGGCGGCAGCACCGTCCCGTGTTTCATGGTCGGAGGTGACACCACCGACGCTAAGTGGGGCGTGTCCGGTCTGCCGAAACATAACACAAAGTTAGAATCTCTAACCATGAAAGAATGAACCAGACAAAGTGCATTTGACTCACTCGACACAGCCGCCAGAGTCAGTGCTGTTCTTGTTTTGGCATCCACAAGCACAGGTCGGGCAGCCGACAATGGTGTCGTTGTAGAAGGAAGACAAGGAAACACAACAGGTCGGAGTTCTCTGAGCAAGAAACTGCGAGTACGTGCACGTAACGTTCCATGTCACTGCCATACACAACAGAAACCCGCTGTCAGGACAACTTTCTTGTATATTATAACATATACTGATTCTGCAATAACAAGAAGCAACTTACTCATAGCTTGAGTGGTTCTCCGGCTATCGGGGGTTACAAACTTGGTCGGCTTCCCTACCTTTGCCGGCCCGCAAGTGTACCCTGGTCCCGGGGCAAGGAGAGTGAAGTTTCTTGGCACCCGAACCGTCTTGTTAGTGGTTCCAGCAGCACCGACACTGATCTGGAACGAGCTGGCAGCGGTGGACGGGTCCTGAACCCACGAGTTCAAGACACCGCCCCTGCAGCAGTTTGCTATTTGTTGGTTGTAGGGAGTTCCCGGGAGCAAATCGACGACAGTCGGATCTTTCTTACAACAATGCGGGATGTTCCCTTTGTACTTGGAACAATCACCTGTTACCATATAGATACCAAAATTCAACATCTTTAACGTTTTCATCAGATACGATCATATACAGACAATATAGCTCAAAAGGCCTCTCACCTTGTTCGGTTGTCTGTCCTCCGACCATACTCCATATCACTTCCTTCTTTGCCCATTTCCAACCCAGCGTCCACCCGGGTGACTGGATGTGTCTGTACTTCTGGAAGTTGTACATTGTAACCACAGCCTACGGGAAAAAAGATTTGATTGGAACAGAACTGAGAGATCTAAACTTGGTTGGGAAATAAGGGTTCCTCTTAAAAGAAGCCAAACCAGTACAAAAGACCGATCTTTTCTTGTTCTTGAATCGGGGGGGAGCGAGAAAGAAAGAAACTTACAACATAGCCATCAGGCGTCCAACTCATGACATCCCATTTGATTGTTATGTTGCCTTCAGGATCAAGGGCATCATATGCTTCTGCAAAAAAAAGAATTCAGACAGATCAAACTCAGAAATTTTGCTCCTTTCCCTCCGATTTTGTTTCTGTACTTAGTTTATGTAAATATCGAATTCTTGGTTTGCGTTTCTGGTAAACGGAACCTCCACATAAAACATATCAGACATTGGACCAACAAATTCAAGCTTTTTATGAATTTCAATCTGAACTCTACAAAAAGACTACAATACCAAATCAGACAATAACCATGCATAGATCAAAGCAAAGACCTAGCCGGGGAAAGCATACAAAGCAATTCACTCGGTCCCTGTCAGTTTCCGCATCTACCGATCCATTCCGACAAGAAACTCAATCAAGACAGAGGAAACCCAGATGTCCAAATATAGAAACAAGAAAACATCCAATCAAAAACCATTACGCCTTGAGAGAGAATCAAGAATCATTGACCCTGGGAATCAGGTCAATGGACAGCGGAAACAGCTCTCGGATGAAGTAACAGAAACCCGGAAACAGGAATCGATTAAGAGGACGACTAAATCACCTGTGGAAGTAAAGGAAGAAGAGGAAACCAAGAACACAACCCATATGGCCAAGCAACTGAATTTAGAGATGGTGGAAGTGAAGGGGAAGGAGAAGGCATCCATTTTTTTTTACTTTGCTGTTCAGACCAGAACCAGAAACAGAGCTTGCTCCAGATCCTTGCCGAGATCTGGAACAAGACGGCGAGAGAGAGAACAGGGGCTGTGTCTGAATCTCAAATCAGTGAGAGAGAGAGAGAGAAGAGGAAGTTCAAAGAATAGTCCAACAATAAAATGTTTTAAGAGAGCTGTCTTGTTTGGATCTGTGATTATGTTCTTGATGCATTGGATATAATTAAATCTATTATCCTTCCACAGCGAGAGTTATTTATTTTTTTTGGAAAAATATTATTTGCAGGAACGAAATAAACCCATAATTTGTTTAGGTCATGAATTTCTTGTCATTCATATATATAGATATATATTCTTTTTATGATAAGCTTTTTGTAGTTTAATTACAATAAGATATCTCAGAAGAAGATGGCAAACGTGGGGCCATTGCCCCCCTAACGCTGCTTTGGCTGTCGGTGGACATATATTTCTGTAGACGCTTTCTTAATATATTAAAATATTACTTTTGAATTACTACTAGTGTGTTATAAACTTATAATATCTTGAAATCTCTATCATGGATTTATCTTTAATATCATTATTTTTATATTAATTCCCAATTTAAAAAAATAAGTAAACTTACGTTGATAATATTTATATATCTAAACAATAATCTTGAGTCATGATATCGTTATATTTTATACGTATAACTAAGAAATTGGAAAATCAAATTTTGTGGTTTTAATTAAACTAGTCAACATGATCTGTTCAAATGTATTTTGCGTAGAAAAATTAAAAAAAAAAAGTGTCTCTCCACCGACAAATAAACATATATTTTATATATTTTAAATAGCGAAAGAGGCACTGGCACACAACTGTGTAGAGGCCCAATGGGCTTTATTTTGGGCCCATAAGAGCCCATCAAACACACCGTACAAACAAAATCAGGAGTTGAAAGAAACAAACACGAGCCCTCTGCGTTTCATTACAGAACTACAGAAACTCTGAAGGATAGGTTTCTGATGTTATTTCAATTTTTTTTTATGGAAATGAAAGGAAAAAAAATCATTATTTTAGGCGAAAAACAACAGCTAGACCCGTCTTTGTAAATTCTTGGACAAGAATCTCAGAAAGTCTCCAGCATCATCCGTGTTGCCTTGTGGAACAAGCAAGTGATGTTCCATGTTACTGCAGAATTAACCATAGAAAAAAGCTAAGTTCTCTTTCTTATGTTGTTATCTGATTCTTTTTAGCAAAGGAAAGAAACTTACACAGAGCTCTAGTCATTCTCCTCTTGTCAGGCGAGACAAATATCGTCGGCTTAACATTCCTCGTCTGCCCACATATGTACTTTTGTCCAGGCGCCGTGAAGATAAACCTCGTCGGTCTCTGAACCGTCTTTTCGGTCGTTCCCCCATTGCCGACGCTCAGCTGGAACGAGCTCGCCGTCCCAGGTTCCAAGACGCCGCCTCTGCAGCAATTCGCGATCTGTTGGTTGAACGGAGTGCCTGGACGTAAGTCAACGACCGTCGGGTTTTTGGTGCAGGAATGAGGAATGTTCCCTTTGAACCTTGAACAGTCTCCCTGGTTCACGGCCCTTGCACCCATCATGGACCAGATCACTTCCTTCTTCGCCCATGTCCAGCTCAGCTTCCATCCCGGACGACGGATTGGCCGGTTTTTCTGGAAGTTGTAGATCGAGACCACAGCCTGTACATTCAGGACAAGACGATCTGAGAGACAAGTTTGAAGATCGATGTCCGGCAATGGGTTTATACGGTCTTTTCAGTGTGTGGTGAATCTTACAACATAACCGTCGGGTGTCCAGCTGATGAGGTCCCATTTGATGGTGATGTTGCCGCTGCCGGTATGAGCTTCTATTCAGAGAGAGAAGATAAAGTTGAGTCCTTGAATCTTTACGAGAAATGGCCAGAGAAAACAAGACGCGTCCAGATTTGGGATTTTACCTGAAGAAGTGAAGCAGGAGGAGGAGAGAAACAGCGAAAGAACCCAAACAGCAGAGCTGAGAGTTGGCCTCTTGAGGAAGAGAGAACCCATTTTTGCGCTTCTCAGAGAGAGAGAGAGAGAGAGAGAGAGAGAGAGAGAGAGAGAGAGAGTTATGTAAGAAGTAAACAGCAGTGTGAATGAACAGGAAGATCAAATAAGCCTCGAGGATAAAAGCGTTGACTCCGCAATTTCGTTGACTTTCATCACGTTTGTGTCCCGTGACTTTGGGGATCTGTCTATTAATTTTGGGCTGTTTTATTATTATTATTATTATATTGAATAAAAAAAGAGAAAAAAAAACAGTACGAGTAAATACATATCTTTAGTTACTGCTTAAGAACTTGTTTCTTACCAAGCAAAAACCATCGCCAATACAATAAATGCTTGCCTGTAATGATCCCATCTATGCCCATTGATTTAACTAGTCCACAGAGACAGTCATACAGCTAAGTTCGACAAAGACACGTGCTGGTTTCAAACAGCTAATCAGCCCGTAAAGTAAGACAAGAAACTAATCGTATACCCATCTCTGCAATGTTCCAACAGATCAAGAACTATGCGTAATGTTGTGCACTGAACCAAATATTTATTTGGGGGGGATTTGCTGAAAACGGATGATCCAAGATCATTTGCTCATGGAAAAAAACAAAATTAAAACATAAAGATTGGATTTTGAGCGAATTTAGCAATACCCTTTTGCAAATTGCATCAGATGTTCGTTCATCAGCGTCCCATCGCCTTCCTTGGCTTCTTAACGAAACTCAGACTGATCTGCTTCAGTCTCCTCCTCTTTCTCGCCATTTTCTCTGGCAAAGTCTCTCTCTTTTTCTCGTTACCTTTCACCTCCTTCGTCTTCGTTTTCAGGTATAACGGGTCGACCCTATATTCTTTCGGGCTAACGGGAATACCCCTCTTCGACGCTTCTCTGTACAAGGCATTGGCCCTATCTAGCCGATTATGCGCACACCACTTCCTGATCAACAAATCGTAAGTCTTGATTCCATGTTTGCATCTATCAGCTTTCATCTTCTTGAACACACTCATGGCATGATCAAGCCTCTCAATCCCACACAAGGTCTTCAAAAACCCGTAATATGCCTTCTTATCTAGAGATTCACCAAAACCAGCAGATTTCATCTTATCGATCATTTCATCTCCTTCACCTACCCTAGCCGCCTGATACAAACTCCTGATCAGAACAAGGTAAGTTTCAGCATCCGGTTGACAACCCCACTCTCCCATCCTACCAAACAATTTCATGGCATCCTCTGTTCTCCTAATTTTACACAAATTGCTAATCAACACGTTGAAAGTTTCGGTATTTCTTGGAACACCATGGTAATCCATTTCAAGCAACACCTTGTCAACCTCAGACTGGAGCCTAAACGGATCCTTTTTCCTACAAAGCTTGCACACACAATCAATAACTGCGTTATAGGCTTTTGTTCCGATCTCAAATCCTCCTCTATACATTTCTCCAGCTAATCTGGTGGCTTCATCGAGTTTCTCAGCAACACACCAACCACGTATCAACAAGTCACAGATATGTTCGTCAGGAAATATTTCACTAGCTAAGTTCTTCACCATTTTCTCAGCGTAACTCGCATACCCTTTATCGCACAGCTTCTCTACGACGAGGCTAAGCGATTCTCTGTCGCGTTTGAGCCCAAAATCATTCTCCATTCTCTCGAAGAAACTGACAACCTGCGCGGGTCGACCTGCCCGGACCAACCTGTCAATGGCCGACCCTAGAGTTTTGGCTCCGGCGACATCCTTGTACTTCGAGAGTATCTCCTGCATCGCCTTGAAATCCTTCCTACGGCCGAAGTAATCCACAAAAAACGAGACTGTCTCATCGGTGTGGGAGAAACCGGCGTTCGAGTCTAACCACTCGTTAAACCCTATAGCCGCCCGGCCAGCTTCCGGAGACAGATTTAGTGTCTGGAGAACCAAATCAGCACTTGGCGTGACGTGAGAGAAGCTTAGCTCCAAAGTCCGCGAGACCAATCCAGGATCGGCGTCAGAGTTTCCGATGAGCTCCTTGGAGAGAGACAGAGCGATCTGGCTCGAAGCTAGGGTTCCCGATTCCGCGGTCGCTTCGGAAGATAAGAGCCTGGAGGGGAAAAAAGGAAATTTGGGGGAATGGGCAGGCGCCAAAGGGGGAGGAAATGAAGGCTTGTGGGGAAGAAAACGACGGTAGGATTGGAGATTTGCGGCGGAGGAGGCAAATCCACGACTGAGCAGCAACCGCCGCAGGGGGGGGGGGGGGAGAGAGAGAGACGAGCGGAGCAGACTGCAAACCAAACCCTAACCTTGGTACTTCGGAATATGATTGATAATTGGGTTTTATTTGGGCCTCATTTCCAAATTGGGCTTTATTTACTTCGGCAAAGCCGCAAAAGAAGTTGGGCTTTTTATTTCTCCGGAAAGCACTTCACTATCTACACCAAAATATTAACTATTTCTTAAAAAAAAAATCTTTTTTTTTCCCCTTTTACTTTGGCAAAAGAAAGAAGTTGGGCTTTTATTCCTTCGGAAAACAATTTACTATCTACCATAAAATATTAACTATTTCTTAAAAAAAAATTCTTGTTTTATCAATACGAACATGTATTCTTTTTTGTTTAATCCTCATTTGTTCTATCCAATAATAATTAGGGATGGTTTCAGTCCGGGATCCATTGGATTATATCAGAGTTTGATTATTTCGGTTTTAAAAAAATTATAACAGTTCGGTTTTTATTTTTCGATTTCTATTTTTATCGGCAAAAACCCATTTTCTTAATAATTTTCAATTATTTTTTATTCGATCGGTCTCGGATTTGATTGGATTTTTTGTTTTTAAACAGGTTATAACCATTCAATTTTCATATTAAATTCGGTTCTTTAACAATTATTTATTACATTCGGTTGAGATAAATTCGGTTTCCCGGTTATTAACGAAATAAAGAACCCCTATTTATAATCACATAGACAACTTTGGATTCTAATGACTTTTCGTAGGCTGCTTTAGTCAATTTGTAGTACGATCAATCTTTAGGCGGAAATAGAAAACATGTTTCTCCTTTTCATTTCAGATACATAAAAGTAAAGGATTTGGTTGGATTATAACGCCAATGGTACATTAATTTAAATATATGGTTTCAAAGGAATTGGTTGCATGTCATGTCAATATGTCAGTAGTCCTATATTGTTTCGTAGATTATTTTCAACAAATTATATATTAGTTTCTGTGCACAACGTTTTATTATTTTTTTTTTTTATTTTTTTTAATCATTTTAGTCTAATGATCAATTTTAATAAATATTAATTATAAAAAATATAATTTTAATCCTAAATATGTCATAACACTTCCAGTATATAAAAAACGGTACATTGATCTCTTACTTTTACACTAATACCATAAAATTTGTTTGTTACTATTTAGATTTTTTTCCCCCTTAAACTTTTACATTCTATTTCATTTTGCAAATTTGTTGGATTGGTTAAAAATGATGTTTTTATGCTATTTTCAAGAATATGTTTATACCTTTTCAGTATTTAAGAAAACTTTTAAAATAATCTAGAACGGTAGTAAAGTAATTTACATTATATAACACAGCAGTCTCTTTAGCAGACGAGACCCAGCCTATAAGGCGTATCAACATGAATATTTATTAATTTTACCAATTTGTTTTACCATAATATTTTCTATTAAGATTAAAAAAAATAATGCTTTTAGTGAAAACATGAAAAATAATTTAAAAAAAAACAAAAAGATAGAAAAATCAAACGAGTAAGAAAAAATATATACTAACATAACCACACACACACTCATGAACGCATCATTGGAAGTGTGTGTATATATATATAATACGTATCGATCAACGTATCTCTTTCCATTGAAATGGCTCAGACGTTGAGGGAGAGGGATAGAGCCGACGGTCCGGCCGCAGTCCTAGCCATTGGAACGGCCAACCCTCCGAACACGGTCCTTCAAGCCGAATACCCCGACTACTTCTTCCGCATCACCAACTCTCAACACATGACCCATCTCAAGGACACGTTCAAGCGCATGTGTACGTATAGTTTTATCATATATTCCTTTTGTATTTTCACGTTTGTCGTTACATGCATGTGATCGTGAATCCGTTGGATAGGCGAGAAGTCGATGATAAGGAAACGTCACTTGCACATGACAGAGAATTTCCTGAAGGAGAACCGTAACCTCTGCGCTTTCATGGCTCCATCACTCGACGCTCGCCAGGACGCGTTGGTGGTGGAGGTCCCTCGGCTCGGCAATGGCGCGGCCGTTAGAGCCATCGAGGAATGGGGTCAACCCAAGTCCAGCATCACTCACCTCGTCTTCTGCACCACAGCAGGGGTCGACATGCCAGGAGCCGACTACCAGCTAGCCAAGCTCCTCGGCCTCCCCCCATCTGTCAAACGAATCATGCTGTACCAGCAGGGCTGCGCCGCCGGCACTGCAGTCCTCCGCCTGGCCAAGGACCTAGCCGAGAACAACCGTGGCTCCCGAGTCCTCGTCGTCTGCTCCGAGATCACCATCAGTACCTTCCATGGCCCTTCTGAAGCCCACACCGACATTCTCGTCGGTCAGGCCCTCTTCGGTGACGGCGATGCAGCTGTCATCGTCGGCTCCGACCCCGACACAAATCTTGGAGAGAACCCCATCTTCGAGCTGGTCTCGACGGCTCAAACAATCATCGCAGACTCAGAAAATGCCTTACTCGGTCACTTGAGAGAATCAGGGCTAGCGATCCACCTCTCAAGAGACATACCTAGACTGATCTCCGACAACATTGAGAAGAGCCTGGCGGAAGTGTTCGAGCCACTTGGGATAAGAGACTGGAACTCTGTATTCTGGGTGGTGCACCCTGGTGGTTCTGCCATCTTGGACCAGGTCGAGGCCAAGCTTCGTCTGAATCCCGACAAAATGCGAGCCTCACGCCAAGTACTGAGTGAGTACGGCAACATGGCGAGCGCGTGCGTGCTCTTCGTCCTCGACGAGATGCGGCGGAGATCGGCGGAGGATGGGGCCGGAACCACCGGAGAGGGATTGGAGTGGGGGATCTTGATGGGATTGGGACCGGGTATCACTGTCGACGCCGTCCTCCTCCGCAGTGTCCCTATCCAGTCAAAGTCGTGATAGAATCTATGATATATTTAATATCATAAGACGGCTATTATATTGAATAAAAGGCTTTCGTTTCCTTCTGTCACAACTCGAATGGGTGTGTTTGCCTTCTATGTACTTAGTTTTCTTCTCATTTCAGTTGGCCATGCGAATCCAAAGATTTGAAATATATTCGACAATTTGCTTCTAAAAGGAATGTAGCAAATTAAACAACTTATAATATTCAACCGAGCAAGAAAATAAGAAAATGAACTGTACACCATTCCCAGATCGTCGAACTAAGCAAGAATTATGCGTAATTCACATGACCCATCTCAAACGCATGTCTCGGGGTTATTATAGAGTTAGTAAAAAATCATCACGATAATAATTGCATATCTTCATCAAAAGATACATTCCACCGTCATACAAGGGTGTTCATAAACCTTCATATTCAATTTATTTTTTTTATTGCTTTAGTAAATTATATAATGTATTATATATGTAGCTCCTAATTAAATTTAGCTAAAATTATTTAACCGATCCATATCTACGGGGGCGTTGTACGAAATTTTAAAACGTGTTTCTCCTAGAGAGGGTGGGGGGCATTATCATTCAATTTGGACAAGCTAGAGGCGAAATAGTTCGAACATGTTAAACATAATATACTCGAGACCTATCCATGATTTAACGTTTGACATTATTCTAGAAAATTATAGATCTTAAAATTCAACCAATCATATTATAGTTAAAAAAATTCAACAATAACCAACAAGATGTAGTCCAATGGTCAACTTGATGATACAAAACTTAAAGATCGGGTGTTCGATTTTCTTTGTTGGGTAGACATATAATTTATGGGTCAATTAAAATCCATATACAAAAGTTGATCTCGGACCGAAAATTTATATAATTAACACGTACAAAGGATAGTAATTAGGGTCATCCGTAAAAAAAAAAAATCAACAATAAACTTGTGTATCCAATATTTGGATAGATAATCGGGTTGGGTTGATTATCATAACGTCAATACTATTAATTATATAGTCCAGATTGGTGGCTTAATTTTTTTACCAAAAATTTCCACGATGTCATTATTCTAAATTACGCAGAATATAATCAATATATAAAGATATATACATATTATTATTTAGACAAATGTTTTGGCATTTACATCAAAAATATATATATATATATATATATATATATATATATATTATTTCATAGATAAAAATCAGATAATATTATATGATTAATCTTTATGATGCTATGAAAATCTGATTTTTTTTGGATTTGACAAGTTTTTTTAGTGAAAGCCGTGGTGGCGAAAGATAAAGACGATCGTCGTGACAACGATAAACTATAATCGCGATATACAGTTTCATCTATATATTCTTATCAATAAAACATATAAAGTATTTTTACTTAAGTAAGCTGCATATATCGTTTTCGAATCCTCTACCCTTCCCATATTAAAAAAAACTTTATTTCTCTAACTATTTTTACCATAGATTACTATTTTCTCTTACTATTTTTTACCATAATTTTTTTATATTTAAATCAACAACGAACATTTGTTTAAAAGAAAGCAATAAAGATAATTTTAAAAGTAAATGAAGATTAGCTAATAGAAATACGGTCAGGGGCCTCCAACTTTTGGGGAGGGGGCGATTTTTTTTTCTTTTACCCGACAATAGTTAAACTTTTTTTGAACTATATGATTAAGTATTAAAAAATGCGATAGAAATGTATTTTATTATATTAACACAATTTAAATTTTGTATTTGAAGAGCCAAATGCTGAAACTCTTATAATTTTATCTTACAAATTCTTTTATTGATTTTATTAAACTATTATACATTTTAAAAAATTCTCTTACTCTCATTTGTTTTTTTTTTAATTTTAAATCAACCCTAAACTCATAAATCCTAAATGCTAAATCACAAATCTCATAAGTTTTAAAACTGAAGTCATAAACCCTAAATCACAAACCGTAAATTTTACACGAGAAAAACATAGAATTGATATTTACAGTTTGATATTTAGTTTTTTTAGGGTCACCGGATATCCTGGATCAATGTCGAGACTAAATCCGACGTCGGAAGCCAATCATTATGTTTACTCCCCAAATTTGAAATTCGAATTCGGGACGGAATAAACACTTTCATCCCTATTTCATCGGTTTAACTACCCATATTTAGGTTATTTAGGGTTAAATTAGAAAGGGAATAAAAGAGAACAAAAAATTTAAAATTGTCAAGTGGTATAGTAAAACTCAAACACGTAATTGTTAAAAATAAAATTTGATAATCTTTAAAAAAACAAAGAAGTGAATTCTAATTACCGGTTTTAAAAGACATATAATCTAAATGGGTATTGTATGTTTCTTGTATCAGTACAACATGGGCTATTTTGGGAGTCGGTGAACAATATTTTGCAATGGATGAAAAAAATAAAAGCTTATTAAAAAAAAAGTACTGGGTTGAAATTGCGACCAGAAAAAATTATAGGATTTTTAATAGAATTATCCCATAATATTATTATATGGTATTTATCCTTTTTTTTGGTATGTTCACAAAAGCGACGCCTATCCAACTTGTTTAACTCTACAATCGTGGCTCTTACGTATCTACACATACACTCATGACCACATTATATATATATATATATATATATATATATATATATATATATATATCTCAGAGAGAAGCGCAAAA